TACATGTATAAACTACCTTGAAACAAAACGGTGCCAAACTAGAAAGGAACGATAGAACAATGGATAAATCTTGCATTTTAATATAGACATTGGATCACATGAGCTTCAGTTCTTTGATGTGCAGAAAAACCAGTTTGAGTGTTTATGAAGAAGGAGGAGGTCAACCGTTCCAGTTCTCTGGTTTTAGTGCTTTTATCAATTTGACCATTTGTGCAAACTAAACTCAAAACTCTGCTTTTAATCCAACCATTTAAACAAATAACAAGTAGGACAAAACAATGTTCTCTGAAATATTGGAGTTCACAAATGTATGAAGGTTGTATATATTAAATTAATTTTAAAAACATCAGTTTATTGTACAGGATTGCTCTTTATGATTTATTTCAAATTATGAGACATAAATCACAAAGCAAATTAGATTTCATTTTCTATGGGTTGTTTTTTTATCACATTAATAGTCAGAGGTGGGTAAATTGTACTCAAATTAGAAAACAATTTGACTTTTTACTCAAAAAAAGTAAAACATGGCTGTCTAAAAGTGAAAAGTTTTTTATAAAAAGGCCCCTGAAGTACTGAGTAACTGATCACAGCGTTTGTTTTAATATTTAAAACACATTTACATCAGACAGACAAAAAGTTATCAGCAAATGTTTACGGAGATCCGCTTTAATATATAATTAGTTTTCCATGTAATCATAAGTAAATAATGTTCAACAATAATAATGTTTCAGTGTTAAACAAACCAACACACCTAACTGGAGTTTAGAAATAATTGAAATAGAGAAACTAAACGAGCCTCGGTCTGATCTTTCATCAGGAGACAGACCAGCTGCTGCATAATGACAAATCATAAAGAGCAAATCTAGATGTTATTTAGTGTTTCTCCTGTTTCGTCCTCAATGTATGGATTGTCTTACCTTCAGTTTGAAGTTGATCTGCAACACAGCAAAGATAAGTGAAAATAAGTGTCTGAATTTTTTAGGTTTTTCCTCCAGTTGAGAAACCGATTCTGTTTCTATTCCCTGATTCACATCCAGTTCTTCGTGGTTTTTTAGTTCCTATTCCTCAATTTGCAGGTTTTGCTTACTGTAAGCAAGTTATCAGAGGCAACTGGCAGACTCAGCTTCCCCTATTTCTGATGCAAAGCTGGAAGGTTGAGCCCTGTGAGTATGGCAGGCCAGTTTAGCATACAATCTGTTTTGTCTGACTCTATAAATATTTAAAAGGAGTTTTGACTAGAAACAACTACATTTTGACTATTCTAAAGGGTAATTTAAAATATCTGCTTTTATATTATGACTTGTAAATAAACAATTCAAAATGTCTCCAGTGTTTGTGTTTCCCACGGTGTGTTATAGTGGGTTTGGTTTTTACCTTTAGTTAAACAAAAACATGTGCCACTGTTTGTATGGCAAGCCGTGTTAATATAAAATCATCTTCTCCATACTCACATTGCAGACATCTGAAATCACTTTATGATTAAACATGATTAGTTAATTATGAAGCTATCTCTTCTACTGAGTCCCAGTTGAAGATATCAGCAATTAATATTGACTATTAAAAACATATATTTCCCATGTTGATAATAATAATGAGGAGAACATGAGGAAGCGCTAAAATAATTCATATACTTGGATATTTTGCATATATTTGATTAACACCTCTAGTTGTTTCCCTATGTGAGTTTTGTATTTTTACATAATCCTCATTTTTTCATTTGTTGTATTTTTGCCACTTGCTCAATAACATTTCTTGGGGAAATAAGAATGAGGAGAGTTAACAGAACTGCTGTGTAAATAACCTTCACCCACTTCAAAATAAGAGCATGAACATAAGCATTTAATTATTCTTAACAGTAAAAACCAAAACTTTGACACAGATGTTAAATTTGATTAAACTGAATGTTTACAAAACAGCAAAGTAAATTAGTGATTTAAAATTCATCTGGAAAAATTAACTTAAGGAAAGCTAAATGCACTGAACATTTTCAAAGTTAGCAAAAATTTCTAATAAGAAAAAATAGCTCTGCTACTAGCATTGTAGTGGAAGTGTGCAAAGTAACACATTTCAAGATGGCAGATATCCTCTTACTCTTGTCTCAAGGCAGACTAGCAATTAGCTTTAGTATCTAATCTCTTGTCGTCCTGTATGACTAGAGACTGAAGGTAAGCTGTTAGCTGCTAATAACCTCTCAACAGAACCCCACTTCAAAAACATCTAAATTCTCCTTTTAATGTAACAGAAAATGGCATTTAAACAACTGCTTTACTAGATATCATGAAAAATGTTCATTATACAACAGTTTATTCAGAAACCACATTGTTTGTCCTATTTAAAGGTATATTCCTGAATAAAGTAAATCAGGTGTTAAGTAAATAGAAGGGATAAAATGTGGTACAAGAACTGAAAACCAAATCCAGTCAGAAATTATTGTCGTTTTCCACATTCTGAACATTTCATGTTGTTTTTTGAAGCATCAACAAGAAAACAAAACAATCCTGGGATTCCAGCTCCAGATCTCCAGTATTAAATTATCACATTATATTTCTACTCATAAAGATGGAAAAAGCTGAACAAAAGAGAAGCAACTCATTTTAAGTGTCTGAGGAGCTTTTACTCCATGTTTACTGGACTGATGATCAGGGGCATTTCGTTTTTTCCTGATTTGTTGGTGCAGGGGCTGAAGAAGGGGAAGAGGTTTTCAGTGAAGATGTCGTGGAAAAAGTAAATGTGGACTTTGGAATCGACGTTGTAAAAATACCTGTGGGAAGAAGAAAAGAACAAGGACAGTTTACTAACTTAATAAGGTTTCACATCCAGCCATTAATCGTTAGATTGATGAGTTCCTGAAAGTAAAACAAGGTTTTGTTTTCACCTCTCCTTTCTCATAGTCCACAAATATTCCAATCTTATGAGGTCGAAGTTTCATCTCCACGTTTGTGCACGGCTCAGAGCGAAAGGCGTAATTGTGTCTGAGGGAAAAGAAGAAAACAATTAAATTTTCTAATGACTGCCTGTAGAGCCTTGATGGGAAGAGTGGACACACAGCCAGACACAGGGATTTAACGTGAGGAGGTTTCTGTTATAATGTGTGAAAATAGTCATAATGTTACCAGAATAAAGTTGTCACATGGCAAGAAAAACGTTGTAATATTACTAAAATAAAAAACAACAGCATAGAATAAAATAAAGTTGTAATATTAGTAAAATAAAGTAGTAATTAGTTAAGAAAAACATGACAGAAGTCTGATGGTCTCTGATTGGTTAGCGAGTGGGGTCAGAGGTCACATTACAATAGTTACAATAATCCAATCCACCATTTACAAAAACTCACAGCAGTCACTGAGTCTGACCAAAAGCCAAAGAATGATCAGAAATTTCAACATGGCTTCCATGTCCTCCATTACTAATGAAGGACGTTGTTTTTGGGTTACATACAGATCACATTGTACTGACATTGGCATCACCTACTAGAGCTCTGACTCAGTGGTGATAGAAAACCATCCGCACTGTGTAGAGCAGAACTGAGCCAATTCAAAGCTAGTTGCTTTTGGTAAAGGGCCGTAAGTTAGACTGGCAGTCCACTAGTTCACAATTTGTAGCGTAGAGACGACCATATGAACACAACAGACAGAAAGCAGGAGACGTAAATATACAGACCATAAATATGGATGTTTGATGTTGGGCATTCTGACCACCAGGAACCTCTGAGATCTTCACTCTGTGGAGGAATCATAAAGATATTTATCACATTCCAGCTCTCCATACAAAACAGGCAAAAATAGATCTTGACAAATAATAAAAGTAACCCTAAGAAGCAACTTCAACATATACTTTTTTAACATTTGTTTTGACAGTGAAAACAGAGAAAAAGCTTTAGCCTCTTCTGACCGGAACATCTTCTTCTACAATTTCTCTTTCTATCTTCTCATCACTCTCAGCATCTCACATTCCTACCCTTAGAAATCCTGACCTGCTCATCTTTCCCATCTCTGTCTCTCTACTTCACCAACCTGTACAAATTATTATTTCCCTCCTTATTGTCCAACCAGCATATAGGTCATTATTGGCCCTTTGTTTAGGCTTTGCCAGCACTATTTTCACAATACTTTTTCCTCCACATGTGCTACTGTAGCACATATTCTCAAGGGAGAAATTGAGTCTTTTCAAAATGCTTTATACATTTTTTTATTTTTTTAATAAAATTTCAAAATGCTATATGAACAACAGATGATTTGACAGAATAATTATTCAAAATATCTAAAAAGAAAAGATGAATTTTAGCTTATCCAAAATACACTTTCAGATATCTGTTGTTAGTTTTATCTGGAATTATTTGCTTTCATAGTATCTATAATTTAATTTGTACATGTCGAGTCCTATAGGTTATTGTATCTAAAAATACATTTAAAAGTCTTGAATTATGATGTAATATAAGACATATTTAATTGGAATTATGACTAGTCAGAACAAAAATCAGGATGTCTCAAATTTAGTTTATAACTAATCATAATTTAGTTATTGATACATGAGATGTATGTTTCAGATGGTCAGTAATTCTAGAATTAGAGTTTGAAAAACCTTAAAGTTAAACCTGATTCAATTTGATTGAAATAAAAAATATTTTATTTATCTGAATGGGAAATTAAATCTTGTAAGTTATATTAATTTAAGATTCCTCAAAAAGTTGTTGATGGTGATGACTGTTGGCAGGAAATATCTAGTATTACAACGATTTACTGACAGTTTCATGAAGAGAATGCTCATTGTTTTCCATAATCTTGATTTATGTATAATCCTTCTTTGCACCATCGTCTTTGGACCAGAACATCAGATGTTAGATCAGCACCATCAGTCTGTAGCTGCTGAGGTTCTTTGAATGTTTGGTCTTTGGTACACAGGAGATATTTCGCTGTTTTTAGTAATTACCCCAGAATCACAGTGATGGGAATATCAAAACAACTCCACAGTCATTTAAAGATATTTTATTGTCAAACATATAGAATCCCTTATTTAAACATCTGTAAACATAAAATCTCCTTCAAGTGTTCATAAAGTGAACACTCTTTATGAACTCTTACCAAAGTAAGTAAAATGGGTTTTTTCTTGATTAAAGCTTAAAAAGTGATTTTAAAACTGGGAGACCCAAACCAGCACCATACAAACTGTAACATAGTGTAGATAAATAATGCAATACAGATATTAATAAAATGCCTTAAAAAGCTAAATTTCACACAGTTTTACATAATTTATGTTCCGTTTATAATAACATATCAGTACTGAAAAATATAGTCAAGTACTTTTACTCCCTTCATGTCACCAACTTGTTAGTTTAATCACAGGAAAGAGTTTTATTACAGTAACATTAGAATATGGTGCGATTCAAACAAATGTAAATAATGCATGTAGACATTATATTGCCTTCACAAGACAACAGCAGCTGAGAAAAACTACTTCTTAACCAGTTTTCACATGAATAGATAAATAAAAGTGTACATAAAGAAAAAACATGTCAAGGATTAAGAAAACACTTGAAGAATCCAGAGGTCTGGAAAGAACATTGGCAAAACTTTCATTCTGGTTTTACTTTGGATGCATCTGCTGAACTAATTTCTATTGTCTCACAAATTGAAATGGAAATAAATATTCATGTTTTTCCTTAACTATTGAATGCTCTCTGAGGATCTTAGCAAAACCTCTTTAGGACGGTTATTTAAAATGCTGCTTCCTGGCTTTTGATAAAATTCTTCATTTTCAAATGAAACTCCAATCTTTATGGAACAACATTGGCTTACAATTTACTTTAAAGTGCAACTTAAGAATCTTTTTCCAACTTCATAGACAGGCACCAGATAATGTCAGTGTAAAGTAGGTTTTCTCCCTCTGACTTAGAATGACTTTAAAATGAGCACCAACAGACTCCTGAACGACTCCTGAACCCAAATCCAGGATAAAGAGGTTCAGTGAATTTGGTGTTGAAGGTGTAGATGTGGATCAGTGCATCTGAAGAGACTCTGTAGAAGGACAGAGTCCCAGCAGGACAGTCCACATACACAGCCACTTTGGAGGAGGAAGAGGGTGAACACTTAAAAATCTTTTTACAATCATGCCAAACAGCATAACCCTCATCTGAGCAGATCAGACTCCAAGAGTTATTATTAAATCCAAACCAGCTGTCATCAGTCTGTCCTTCTCTTTGGATTCCCCTGTAACTCACTGATACATAGACCCTCCCAGTCCACTCCACCTCCCAGTAACAACGACCAGTCAGAGGTTTAGCACACAGCAGCTGAAACAAATCAAATCTGTCTGGATGATCAGGATATGGCTGCTCCTCTTCCACAAGCATCACCTTCCTGTTGCCTTCAGATAGTCTGAGGAATCTGTTTACAGTGTTCATGTCGACTTTGAGAGGACAGGAATCTGAAAGACAGGAGAAACATGAATCAACTTGAAGATAAAATGATCATTTTAATGTCTTGATCATGACAAATAAATTGATGTTCAGACCACTTTATTATAAATCACATGAAAAACACACTTACACTTCCTCAGACCTGCTGTTAACCACTGGACTCCAGCAGGTTCCACCCTGGAAGAGGTCAGACATTCACATGAATCACATCAGTGTCTTTTTGTCATGTATGTGGTTTTTATGCAAGAGTGGGAAAAAGAAAGTCAGTTCTGAAAAAACAGTGCAGCTTAGTTTGTAATAATCCATATATAGGATACAGCAAGCATGTGAGAGAAGGGATACTAAAACATTGTGATCAAGGTTTGTATTTTTAATTATATTTTGTTTTTTGGCTTTCATACCATCATTATCACCAAATTACAGTTATACTTTTAGTTGTTGATTAAATTATCATGCTGTGTCACAGAATGTCAATTAAAATTTGGTTTGAAACTGGCAAAATGTGGAAGAAAAAGAATAATTTAACAAGATGCTTTAACTAGGTTCATTGTAGAAAAAGATGTTAGTGGACTGTATGCTTCACTTAGGAAGTGTAATGGCATGTAATTGATGATGCCAGTAATGTAGATTTATACAGTATCTGACAATAACACTGTTAAGCTGCAGCAGAAGTTTCCCTACTTCAGAGTCTCCAGCTTCCAGTCTGCATGATCCCGTCCGGCAAACAGAGGCTGAGCTCCTCTCTCTCCTGGATGATTGTAACTCAGGTCCAACTCCTTCAGGTGTTTGGGATTCAACATCAGAGCAGAGGCCAGAGCAGCAAAACCTTCCTCTGTGATCAGACATCCTGAAAGCCTGCAGACAAACAAACATAACAGCGCAATGCAAAAACATTTACTAACAATACCCTAAAAAAGACTGATGACCTGCCGTCTTATTTTTAATCAATAATTTGCAGAGTGGCTTAAAGTTTCTTGTGTTACAGCAGCAGTGGAGAAGAAATGGTAGAAAGCTCAGGTGTCATAACACCACATTTACACCAAGACATTTGTGTATTCAGCAACCTTGACATCAATCATTCCTTTTGTCAGACAGTTTTAGCTTCAAGCTTTTTATTACAGATAGTCTGAATATTTTCTCATTATTGAAAATGAGTTTTAAAATGTTCGTGTTTCACACCAAATGCTGCAGTTGCCACTAGATATAATCTAGAAACAACATCTTTTGATGTTGAAACAAAAGATGTAATCATAGAAAAAGAAGCAAAAACCTAAAATTTAGCAAAACAAATGCAACCACAAACAAAATGCTGCAACCATAGAATATAGAAGTGAAAGGGAAATTATCACAAATAGCACAAACAACGGCAAATATGAACAAATTAAAGTGCTGCAAACCAGTTTGGAGTAAAATTTGGGGATTTGCAGACATTTTATGAGTAACTTTATCAGCTTCATCCGATATTAAAATCTGAACTAACCTCAGAACTTCGAGTTTACAGTTTGGACTCTTCAGTCCGTCACAGAGCAGCTTCACTCCTGAGTCGCCCAGGTTGTTGTTACTCAGGTCCAGATCCTTCAGGCGAGAATCTTGAGAGGAGAGAACTGAGGACAGAGCTTCACTGACAGGTTACATCCACTGAGTCTAAGGAGACAAAATAAATACAGAGTATTTATTATTATGTGTTTAAAGTGAACTGCTGCAAGAAACTGGTTTCAAGGCAGCAGCTAAAGAGAAAATAGCTACATTAGACATAAACAACAATTTTTTTATTTATTTATCTTGGTCAGCTATGAACATTTTTATTATTACTGCCACTGTGTCAGAGTCTCTGTGTGCTACCTGATGGACTTAGGGTCTGGATACGTACAGGTTACGTCTGGGTTGATGCTCTATGGTCTTGATCTTGAAAGATTCCAGATAAGGAGCACAAAGTTGTGCATACAAAAAGAATCACATCTGTACTGAGTGGCCATGTTGCAAGCAATGTAAGAGAGGAAATATTATTTATAGCACAACTGTGTGCCACTGGACCTGAGTGAAACTGCTGCAGATCCCCTTCTTTCAATGTGGATTTTGCATGTCTTAGTGGCAGTCATAATAGAAAGTATTATGGAGTGACATGGTCGTAAAAGAAAACTGAAGGCATGGAGTTTGAGGTATAATAATACATTTCATTTACATAAGTGTCTCAAAATAATAAAGCATAACAGTAGAAGCATGTAAAAGAACCTCCAGACATTTGATTTTTGCTGCTTTCTCACATGGTTTTTCACATAGTTCTCAGAGAAATGCTTCATTATTTTGCTCTTCACTAGTTTATACAATGAAATAGAAAAAACTGATTTAATTGATCTGTACTTACATAGCTTTGCTGGAGGCTTTGACTATTGGCAACAGTCTGTGAAGAGCTTCCTCTGAAGCAGAGTATTTCTTCAGGTCAAACATCTCAAGGATTTTCTCAGATGAAAGGAGGATGAAGTGCAGAGCTGACCACTGAGCAGGAGACAACTGGTGTGTTGAAAGACTTCCTGTTCGTAGAGATTGTTGGATTTCCTCCATCAGAGATTGATCATTTAGTTCACTTAGACAGTGGAACAGATTGATGCTTTTCTCAACACAAAGATCATTATTCATCTTCTCCTTGATGTACTGGGCTGTGTCTTTATTAACCGCTAAACTATCTTCTGTCTGTGCCACAAAGCCTCTGAAGTGACGCTTATTGGTCTGCAGTGAAAGACCAAGTAGGAAGCGGAGGAACAAGTCCAGGTGCCCATCTGGACTCTCTAGGGCCATGTCCACAGCACTCTTGTACATTTCTGTCTCTGAGGATTCCTGGTGTCTTTTTTCCAATTCCTTGGATTTCATTTCACCTTTTGCCATCAGATTGACTCCAGATTTGATGAAGGTCAGATGAACATGAAGAGTAGCCAGAAACTCCTGAACACTCAGGTGGACGAAGCAGAAAACTTTGTTCTGATACAGACCTCTCTCTTCTCTGAAGATCTGTGTGAAAACTCCTGAGCATGTTGAAGCTGTTCTGATATCGATGCCACACTCTGTCAGGTCTGATTCATAGAAGATCATGTTTCTTTTCATCAACTGTTCAAAAGCCAGTTTTCCCAGAGACTCGAGCATCTTCTGGTTCTCTGGACTCCAGATTGAATTTGTCTCAGCTCCTCCATCATACTTGATGACCTTCAGTTTGGTCTGCACCACCAGGAAGTGGATGTACATCTCAGTCAGGGTCTCTGGCAGCTCTTCTTCATCTTTCTTGTTCAACATGTCTTCCACAACTGTAGCAGTGATCCAGCAGAAGATTGGGATGTGGCACATGATGTGGAGGCTTCTGGATTTCTTTACATGGGAGATTACTATTCTGGCCTGCATCTTAGATTTAAATTTTTTGGTGAAGTATTCATCTTTCTTTAGGTCAGTGAATCCTCTGATCTCCGTCATCTTGCCAATAAACTCAGGAGGGATCCGATTGGCTGCTGCAGGTCTTGTGGTTATCCAGAGGAGAGCTTTGGGAAGCAGGTTCCCTCTGATGAGGTTTGTCAGAATAACATCCACTGAAGTGAACTTTGTTACATCTGTCAGGATCTCATTTTTCTTGAAGTCCAGTGGAAGTCGACATTCATCCAACCCATCAAAGATGAACACAACTTCTAAATCTTCAAACCTAGAGATTCTTTTGGTGTCACTAAAAAAGTGGTGAACAAGCTCCACTAAGCTGAACTGCTGGTCTTTTAACAGATTCAGCTCTCTGAACATGAATGGAAACATGAACTGGATCTTTGGGTTTGCTTTGTCTTCAGCCCAGTCCAGAGTGAACTTCTGTGTCAGCACTGTTTTCCCAATGCCAGCCACTCCCTTTGTCATCACTTTTCTAATTGGTTCATCTCCTTCATGAAAGGGTTTAAATATGTCTTCATGTCTAATTGTTTCTGGTTGGTCTGGTTTCCAGGACACTGATTCAATCTGTCTGACCTCATGTTCAACATTGACCTTTCCAGCGTCTTTCTGTGTGATGTATAGCTCTGTGTAGATTCTATTCAGAACATTGTGAGTTTTTGGTTTACCAATCCCTTCAGGCACCTTTGTTAACCTCGTCTTCATTCTAGACTTCAGTGTTTGTTGGCATGTGGTGAGTGATCCTTAAAGAATGGGAAAAAAAGTAAAATATTTTTTTTCATTTGTTTTACATTTCATTTTGAAAACATTCATGTATGTGTAGATATCACACAAATATTTCTGCTTAATTCATTTTTTATAAGCTATGATACACAACATTTAAGAACCAATTATTTAAATCCTAATGTCTGGCCATAAGAATAAAATACCACTGAATATAATTGAGAAAATATGAGCTTCCTACTGGATGGTTACTTCATAGCCAACTGTCTTCCAACTGGCAACGAGTTACTTACTGTTAGTGAACAGTAAGTAAGAGAGTAAGAGTAAGTAAGAAAGACATCTTATTGTTGTGGAAATGATGTTAGTCTGTTTTACAAGCGTAAAATTATTGGCATCAAGCAGAGGAAACATCTAAGGAGATCCAAAGACTAAGGTTGGGTTAAAACTAATATTATTTTAAAAAATAGAAGGAAACAAAACCCTGAATGACTGTAATTGGTGATCACTTAAGTGTTCAGTTAAATCAAATCAAAGGAAAAGATTGGTAGAAGTCAGGTCTAAGAATGAGAATTTCCACAACATGAAGGGAATAGTATTGTAGCCATATGAAAACCTTTAATCAATGAGGTTAACTGGAGAAAACAGCTTTAATGTGTAAGGCAACATAAAGCTATGACTCTATTGTGACACAAGAAGGTCAATTGATCTGATGAGTCCAAATTTACTCTCTTCTAGAATGAAAGGCACATCAGGGTAAGAAGAGAGGCAGATTAAACTGAATGTTCACACAGCAACCAACCAGTAAGTATAAGATTGAATAATTGAACTGTATTTGGCCCAGACATGATCTATACCTACTTGCTAAATATTCTTAATACCCCGCATGAAAACCAAACTAATTCTAACATAAGGAATAAATTGAAAGACAAATTTACTTATCAATCTTCCAGCATATTAACTCTATAGAGAAATTGTCTTAATGGTTTGAAGATGGTTAGCCAGCTCCTTCTTGTTCATCCTTCTGAAGTAGTATTGTGTGATTGTCTCAAATGCTTTTCTCATTTGCTCTTTATCTTCACCCTCTAAATCATCTTCATCCTCATTCCCCTCTAGAACATCTGGGTAATCTGAATCCAGAACCATTTGGATCTTCTTCAGCTCATTTTCCACAAAAATGGAAATGTTCTGTTTAAGCTCCTAAAACAGAAAAAACACAACTTAAACTGAAAGCATTAAGGTGATGGACCTGAGTGAAGTTTCCCCTCCCAAATTCTTCAAATCAGACAAAATTGGTGTCAAACATCTGTGATACGTTTGTGCAGCAAAAAGTTTGGTTTGTGACGCTATAATTTAAAGATATCTTTAAAGATAAACATAAATATTTCTAGAGGTCACATTTAAATCTCTTTAGTTATTCGCACAAGCTCAGCTCGGTTTAGTTGGTTCTTGTTGTGCAACAAAAAACTTTCATTTGTGCTGCTTTGGCTTTGAAGATATCAAATCAGACACCCATTTTGTTTGATTTGACAAAGTTTGGTTGACCTTTCATGACCTCTAGAAATATTTATCTTTATCTTTAAAATGATAGCGTCCAAAAAAATTGCTGCACAAGCCAGCACAATCTTAGCACAAACGTTGACACTGATCTTGTCTAATTTAAAGAAGGTGTGGGGGCAACTTTATTCAAGTAAAGGGTATATTTTGGTAAAATATGTCATCAGAAACAGGTTTAAACCTGTATGAATCATAGAGTAAAAGGAAGACAACTAGCAGAAAAACAGTCAACTTCCTGTCCAAAGGGGGTGGGGCTAAGGTGATGTCACTCATTGTGATCAGTGGTGGTCTGCTATGACAAACATATTTCATGCAACTGTGATGTGTATGGAAGTTATTCCACTCTGGCGAATGGTCAGATTTTGAAGCCCATGCCCACATGCAATAAAAACCTTTTAATAACTTGAAAAAATATCAAACAGAAGAAAAGTGTGGCACTAATTCCATGACCATTTTATAAAAGCAAACTAGAGGATGTAGGGAAAGAGTGGGAGCCGCATCGGATAGGGGAGTGATGTATACTGACATGGGACAGGGCTTCCACAGGTAGTCTTCACTGTATGAAAGGTTTGTAACAATATGAATGTCTCATGACCACGTAACCATGTGTCAACTGTTGGATTCAACAGTTTTATAAAAGAGAGATATGTCTTCCATAAAACATGGGAGAGACTTTCTGGCTGTATTCTGCTGATCTACTGATCCATGCTGGGGTTTTCCACTAGTAATCATTTGTGGTACCAGAGAAAAGTGACAGAAGTCTGATGGTCTCTGATTGGTTAGAGAGTGAAGTCAGAGGTCACATTACAAGAGTGACTCCCTTACAATAATCCAATCCACTCAGTGACTGAGTCTGACCAAAAGCCAAAGACTGGTCAGAAATTTCAACATGGCTTCCATGTCCTCCATTACTAATGCAGGACGTTGTGTTTGGGTCACATACAGATCACATTGTGTCTACTAGAGCTCTTACTCAGTGGTGATAGAAAACCATCCACACTATGCAGAGCAGAACTGAGCCAATTCAAACAGCCCTGCTAGTCGCTGTTAGAAAAGGTCCATAAGTTAGACTGACAATCCACTAGTTCACAATTGTAGCGTAGAGACGACCATATGAACACAACAGACAGAAAGCAGGAGACATAAATATACAGACCATAAATATGGATGTTTGATGTTGGGCATTCTGACCACTAGGGAGCTCTGAGATCTTCACTCTGTGGAGGAATCATAAAGACTTTATCACACTCCAGCTCTCCATACAAAACAGGCAAAAATAAACAAAAGTTATTTGTAGATCTTGACAAATAATAAAATTAATCCTAAGAAGCAATTTCAACTGATTATACTTATATTTTTTCTAAATTTTTGTAGTGTAAACCATAAAATAGAGAAAAGGTCTGAGCCTCATCTGACCAAACATCTTCTTCAACAATTTCTCTTTCTATCTTCCCATCACTCTCAGCATCTGTCGTTTCTACCCTTAGAAATCCTGACCTGCTCATCTTTCTCATCTCTGTCTCTCTACTTCACCAACCTGTACAAATCGTTATTTCCCTTCTTATTGTCCAACCAGCATAGGTCATAATTGGCCCTTTGTTTAGGCTTTGCCAGCACTATTTTCACAATGCATTATATCTCCTGGTACTCCTTTATACACTCCTAATTCCTTTTCCTACCTTCTTTATTTTTATATGCATCTGAATTTTTCACAGTGTATTGAACTTCTTATTTTTAACAAAAAGGACAATCAGAAAGGAAATTTACCCCAAGTTACTATGAAAGCATTTGTGTGAAGCTCAATCTCTTTTAAGACACAACTGCACGACTTCCTCACTGTGAACATCCCCACACTGTCCGAGATCAGAACTGCTTATCCACATGTTATACTGCTAAAAAGGGAAATATGTGTACGTGATTACATGTCTCTAAACTGAATTCAGACAGCACTCCCAGGATTTTTCTGTCATTGAAAAATAAATTTGTAGAATAAGATTTTATCAGGGTACAAAACACATGTTAACTCTTAGTTGTGTCTACAAAAGAAAAAATGTGCAAAGTGAAAATAAATAGAGTTCTGTCACAATAGGAACTACTGCCTATAGACACAAACAAAGACGTAATGGAAAATATATTTAAAGTAAAAAGGATAAAAAAATTAAAACAAGGCCAGTTGGATGAAAAAATAATGCCATCTGGGATTTGTATCTTCAGCTGATAAGTGGTTAAAATAGTTATACACAAAAACAAAACATTCACAAACAACTCACTCATGTGGAGATGGAGGTTGGTCTGTTTCTGACAGTTGTCCAGATGAAGAGCTGGAATATGAGTGCTGAGGGCTGCATGCAAAACAATCAGACAGTAAGAGAGATTTTTAAACACTGCTTTAACAAATTGCTTGGTGAGGCCTTAAAGTGCTCTGCTTTTTGTTTTGTTGAAAGTTTTTTGTCCTCGCCAATATGGAAACACCTGATTAAATTAGAACCATTCCAGCTTAAGAAAAAGACCCACAACTCCTACAAAATATAAATGTTTCTTTTTTAAGGCTGAGGTTCTGGAATACAACTTTACAAGTGTATATAAAAACTGCATGGCAATTTCTTGCTGTTTGTGTCCAACTTAAATCTATGTAATAAAAAAGTTTCAATAACAAAAGCATAAATATATGAAGCACTTTTCAAATCAGGATATTGTAAAGTTAATAACTAAATCATGAATCAACTGTGATTAACAACATTTTCAGGTTTTGTTTTACTGATCAATTGACTGACAGTTGAATTATTAAATCACTAGTTTTTTCTTCTGAAAGCAAAAAAAAATGTCATTTGTGAAATGCTGCATATGTTGAGTGTTTTAGACAGATTAATTATACATAGCTCACCTCTTTGGAGGGTTGTTTGATTTAAAACGAATAAGAATATCCATGGAGCTATTCTCACAGAGCTCTAGATCCAGTTCATCTTCATTCTGTTTTCTGTAAGTGAAGTAGGTTGAGTGATATGAATGCCTTTTTTTGGACTGAATGAAAACAAAAAATCTCTAAAATCTTCTATCTCACCTCCTGGTTTTCCTCTGATTCTCAGTTTTTGTCAGAGTTTCTCCTTCTTCCAGCTTCTCCCTCTGATCCATGATGGTGAGTTCAGATCCACATCAATCTGCAAGGAGTGTTTATGTTAAACTGGAGAAGCAAAACAATTCACTCACTAGTTCTTCAGTTCAGCAAATATTGTTTTCTTCACATTGTTTGTTCAATAAAACTATCAGCAAACAGTATTAGACAATAACACCAGCAAACAAAGAAGCAGGAAGAGAACTGGCAAAAAAAAGTAATATTCCTAATATTTTTTAAAGAAATGTTATGCACTTGCCTGATTTACATGCACTTGTGTGGGAACATGTTCTTCAAACTGTAGATAATTATGATTAATAACTTATAATTAACAGAAGTTGCTAGTTGTTTCACTCAGAATAAGTCTGGGCGCAACCTGATAACCAGGAATTACTGGCCAAACAACATTCAGTCAGTCAGTGATGTTCTGTGAAAACCAACTAAAGGAAGAGTTACAAAACAATAAATGGATTGACGTCACCATCTGGGAGGAGCCTGAACTTACAGCTGGTCTCTGTTTGTCTTTGTCTAAAGATCATTGGAAACAGGTGCGGTCACATTTCTGAGATTTTCACCTATGGTTTTAATTTTGTTTAGCCTCAAAATATCTAATGAGTTTGTGGAAAGAATAAAAAATATTCCATAAAACTACAGACCATTAGTTTGCTTTCACTAATTGGGCCACGTTACCCAACAACAGAAGATTGAAATAAAATTATTTCAACACTTTTATGATGGGGAAATATTATGTAATTATAAAACAAATAAGAATAAAGAAATAGATGTGAAGAGACCTGGAATAGTTATAAACTGTAAACCAAGTTGAGGCTTGTATTTCCACCAACTGGTTTCTCTCTCCAGTCTGTGTGATGATTTTTATTCTGCATAAAGCAGCCAAGATAAAAACAGAAGTGACTTTAGTTCCCTCTTTGGTTTAATGTCTATAATACAAGTAAAGATAATTACAAGAAATGAACCTGTAAACAAGTTAATTATCAAAGAGGCTGTTATCTTACCTTAAATCTTTCTGCTTCACAGCAAAATGAAATATATAAGAGTTTGATAAACAAATATGGGGAAAAGCTTCGTCTCTAAGACGGGACAGAACCAACCTCATCACAGGTGGATCGTCACCTGTGAGGGAGGGAGGAGTTTAACTACTGCTCATTGTTTTAAGCTGTCAGTTTATACTTTAGACAAGGGGTCTCAAACTCCAGTCCTCGAGGGCCAAAGTCCTGCAGTTTTTAGATGTGTCACAGGTACAAAACGCTGGAATAAAATGGCTTAATTACCTCCTTCTTGTGTAGATCAGTTCTCCAGACACTTGAATTATTCTATTCAAGTGTGGTGCAGCAGAGGCACATCTAAAAGTAGCAGGACACCAGCCCTTGAGGACTGGAGTTTGACACCCCTGCCTTAGAAGGAATTTTATCTAGTCAGAATACAGTCAGATATCTCTTAATTTAGCTTTGCCTGAAATTATTTGCTTTTAAGATATCTGTAGTTGGATTTGCACAAGTTGAATCCTATATAAGTTACTTCATATCTAAAAATACATTTAATACATCTTGACTACTTATGTAATTTAATATATATTTTATTGGAATTGTTACGAGACATAGCAAAAAAGCAAGATATCTTGCTTAATGACTAGTCATATTTAAATTTTATTTGAAATATTCAGATGGCCAGGAATGTATGGCATAAATAGACTTAGACTTAGACTTCCTTTATTGTCATTGTACAAAAAAAACACAAGGTGAATCTTGACAACGAAATGTCGTTACTTGGCTACCAGTGTAGCAGAGCTAAAACCTTATACTACCCAATAAATAAATAAATACAATACAAGTGCCATAGAATACACAGGTTCAGTGTTGTGAAAAAAACTAAACTAAAGTGCATGTATTAACCATGTCCATGGGGGGGTCATTTGGTTTGTGAGTGTGTGGAGGGGTGTTATGTGGCGTTAAGCAGTCTGATGGCCCGGGGGAAGAAACTGTTCAGTAGTCTGGTTGTTCTGCACAAGATGCTGCAGAACCTTCTTCCAGACGCCAGGGGGGGAAACAGTCCATGGTTGGGGTGGGTGGGGTCGGAGAGGATCTGGTGAGCGCGAGATAGGCAGCGCCTCTCTGCGATGTCCTTGATGCAGGGGAGCAGAGCCCCCGTGATCTTCTCCCCTGTCCTCACCCACCCTCTGTAGAGACTTCCAGTCAGAGGCCTTGCAGCTCCCAGACCAGATGGAGATGTAGCTGGTCAGTTGGCTCTCGATGGTCCCTCTGTAGAAGGTCTGAAGGATGGGGGGCGGGAGGGATGCTCTCTTCATCCGACGCAGGAAGTGCATGCGCTGCTGGCCCTTCTTCACCAATGAGGAGATGTGGGGAGACCAGCTGAGGTTTTCGTTGATGTGCACCCCCAGGAACTTGGTGCTGCTGACGACCTCCACTGCTGAGTCGTTGACGAGGAGTGGTGTGTGGGTGGGTCTGGATTTCCTGAAGTCTACGATGATCTCCTTGGTCTTGTTGACATTCAGGATCAGGTTGTTTCCTCTGCACCAGTCCACCAGATGCCGCACCTCCTCCCTATAGGCCGTCTCGTTGTTGTCCCGGATGAGGCCCACCACTGTGGTGTCGTCCGCGTACTTCAGGATGTGGTTGGATCTGAAGTGTGGACGGCAGTCGTGGGTCATCAGGGTGAACAGCAGGGGGCTCAGGACACAGCCCTGAGGGGTGCCGGTGTTCAGGGTGATGACATCGGAGGTGTTGTTCTCCATTCTGACAGCCTGGGTTCTGTCAGTGAGGAAGTCCAGTAGCCAGTTGCAGAGGGGGGTGTTAATTCCTAAGGGGCCCAGTTTGCCACCAGGTCTTGGGGGATGATGGTGTTGAACGCTGAGCTGAAGTCCAGGAACAGCATCCGCACGTGGGTGTTCTTCTCCCCCAGATGCTCCAGGCTCAGGTGGAGAGCAGTGGAGACTGCATCCTTAGCACTGCGCTTGAACTGGTATGCAAACTGGAAAGGGTCGTGTGATGGGGGGAGCGTGGAGATGATGTGGTCCTTAACAAGTCTTTCGAAGCACTTCATGATGGTGGATGTCAGTGGGACGGGGCGGAAGTCGTTAAGGCATGTGATGGTGGTTGACTTCGGGACCGGAACGACAGTGGCAGACTTGAAGCACCGTGGGACGACAGCCTGGTCCAGGGACGTGTTGAAGATGTCCGTGAGCACGTGGGCCAGCTGGTCCGAGCATTCCTTGATTAGCAGACCTGGAATGTTGTCCGGACCTGCAGCTTTCTGCGCGTTGACCTTCCTCAGAACCTTCCGCACTGCTGATGTTTCTAGTCTGAGCGCCTGTTCATCGGGGTGTGGCGTCGCTTTCCTCGCAGGGTTGTTGTTCAGCTCCTCAAATCTTCCGAAGAAGTTGTTGAGCTCGTTGAGGAAGCCAGTGTCGGTCTGGCAGGATGGGGGTGTGGGTTTGTAGTCTGTGATAGACTGGATGCCCTGCCACAGTTTCCTGGTGTTGTTGGAGTCCTGGAAGAGACCCTGGATTTTCCGGCTGTGGGCTTGCTTAGCGTCTCTGATGGCCCGGTTCAGGTTGACCCTCGCAGACCTGAGAGCCGCAGCATCACCAGATCTGAAAGCAGCATTTCGTTCTATCAGCTTCGTTCCCACCTCCTTGGTCATCCAAGGTTTCTGGTTTGCCCGAGTGACTATTGTTTTTGTTGCTGTCTCTTTTTCCATGCACCAACTGATATAGTCGGATACAGATGCAGCGTACTCCTCCAAGTTGGTGTGCTGGTTGTGTGTAGCTGCTTCCTTGAAGATGCCCCATTCAGTGCACTCAAAACAGTCCTGCAGTGCAGACATGGCGCCCTCAGGCCATACTCTCACCCTTCACTGCAGGTCTCTCTCTGATGAGCCGGGGCTGGTATGCAGGAATTAGCATGACAGAGAGATGGTCTGAGGAGCCCAGGTGGGGGCGGGGGGCTGCTCTGTAGGCCTTCTTTATGTTGGTGTAGACAAGGTCCAGAGTGTTCTCCCCTCTAGTAGCAAAGTCCACATGTTGGTGAAAGTTTGGGAGCGGTCTTCATGTTGGCCTGGTTGAAGTCGCCAGCAACAATAAAAACACCTTCCGGTTGTGTGGCTTGCATGTCCGTGATGTTGTTGTAGAGAACACTGAGGCTTGCTTTGTGTTGGCGCTGGGTGGGATGTAAACAGCAACAATGGTGACGCTGGTGAATTCACGTGGCAGATAAAAGGGTCGACATCTCACAGTCAGGAGTTCAATGTCTATGGAGCAGTGACTGGAGACCCTGGAAGCGTTGTTACACCAGCTGTTCTTCGTGTAGATGCAAACGCCCCCCCCCTCGGGTTTTACCTGTGAGAGCACCGCTTCTGTCGGCTCTGAATGTTGTTAGCCCGTCCAGGCTAACTGCGCTATCTGGGACCGATGCACTGTAGAATTGGAGCATCTTAATAGTAAACCTGATTAAATTTGATACAATTCAAATATACCTGATTGTTCCTGTTGTGTTTAGTTCTTCATATTCACAATGAACCACATCCTTTTGTCAGATAGCTCTATTCTCTTTATTGCTAACTCACAGGTCCAACTCCTTCAGTGCTGCCAACATCTCATTCTGACTCCTTCCCACCCAACCCTGCAGAACAACATGCACAATAATAATACTAAACAGAAAGTGAAAGTAACAGGATGAAGAACTTGTAGGCGTGCATTTCAAAACAAATTAAACAGCAGAAACACAACACAAAAACTCAAATACATGTTAATATGAGAATATATTCTAACAAATTCAAAGAAAAATTAAATGCGACTCATTAATTCAAAAAGGTGCTATAAATGTGGATGACTGTGGGCAGAAAAGATCTTGTGTCGCAGTCTGTTAGTGAGTTTGAATCTGAAATGTGTTCAAGTGTTCAAGTTGCTAATATTGAAATGCTGCCCTCTCGTGGACACATAGCATTCCCCCTAGTTATAACAGCGACACAACCTGCACTGAAGACTATATTGCTTGTTGTAGCATCTTTCATCTTTCCCTAATCAACCCAATGGAGCTCCAACTCCTCATTGTCCTTTATTTAGGAAATAAGAAGGTATCTTTTATGGATTATTTATCCCCTTTTCAGATGAGATGATTTGCTGGACCAGCAGGTTGTAACTGAAGAATAAGGAGCTTAAATATTAGGAGGTTGATAGTGGGAACAATGGATCAGGGCTGATAAGCTAACAGATTGCAGGTGTGAGGAGTTGGACCTGGAACCAGGCTGAGGAGGGGAAAGAGAAATTGTCACAGGAAATTGAAGGAGAGAAACAAGGGAATAGGAAATAACCTTAACACTAAGGAACAAATTAGATTAAAGAAACATGATAAACTAGAGCATCAGAAAATAACTTGGAGGCAAGAAAAACATAAAAACAATCACTGGGGAGAACAGAAGTGGAAAACAGAACAAAACTAAAGTAGATAAGTCAAAGGAACAACAATAATGACAAAAATCCACAACCTAATTTAAACGCCCCCAGATCCTGACACCAACCTTAATGGGGCAGGATATGAAATAATGAACATAAATCATGTTGTGCAATATAAATGTTACTCACTTTTATATCATTTATGTGTACCGCTTATAACATATTAGTGAAGATGTATATTTCCAAGTATTTATTCTTCTTATAGTTAATTTGTTAATCACAAGAAAACAATGACTGCTTGGAATCATTACTGTAACATTATAATATATTGCAGTTAAAAAGTGTCAAAAGTGCAAGTAGATTACATTACATTGTCTTTAGGCACTAATAGCAACAAGAAAATCTACATCTTAACCAGTTTTCACAAAACTTAGAGAACAAAGATGTACATCAGAAAAATGCATATTACAGAGATTATTGACAAAGAACCGAGAGGTTTTGGATTAAATGTTACATCCAGTCTTAGATTAATTCCTTTTAATGATCTGATCATAGAATCTTTATTCTCACATTCTGAGAACTAATTATGGATTCCCCACTGCACTCTGTGCATCTCAGCATTCCTTCCCTAGAGTGGCTGCAAGGTGTAGTAAATGATGCTGCCAGGCTTCTGACAATCCTACAGGTTTTCAT